CAGTCGTCTGCATTTGTTATCCACATGGCGCAAGAAAAAGAGGATAAAATAGATTAATGCCAGGATTGTCAATTTTGTGCAGAAAAGAAGACGCCCTAAACTGGGAGAGAAGTGCCTAACAAAAACCACACCGTAAACCATCCTCCATTTGTTTGAAGCTTTCTCCATTATTGTTGAAGCATATACTTTTTAGTAAGAGTTTATGGGAGTTTACGAGTTAAGGGAAACCGACCGATAGCTGTTTGTAATTTAGTCACTCCTTAACGCTTTAGTAGACAGTTATGAAAAGAACCATTCAGAAAGTACGGGGGATGAAGCTGAACTTACGCCGACATGTTCCGACTGCACTTCATGCGCTTTTATCTTTCGAAAGGATGCCATTCGACAGTTTAATATCCTTTCAGTTTTTCTAAGTTAGCCTTTATATATACGTATGCACTTATTTGCACTTATGATGTAGGCAGAAGGACAGTACCGACGAAGAGAAGGGAGACTACGATGGGTATTTCTGGCTTATAGGCTATCTTCAGCCAGTCATAGCGAACCGAAGTGTTGCCACATATATTTTGCCTTACTGCAGATTCGAACCCGCGACCTTGTTAGTTAGAAGTTCAAAGCCTGTGTGCCACTGTGTATTCCCGATCAGTTATAGAGGTATACGTTGATTGGCCATCATTGATGTAAATATTCATTAAATGGGCAATTATAGATGATGCGGGCCAAAGTAACTGTGACCGACGTCTTTCCGTGACTGTACATGATTGTGCAGGGCACCGGCGCCAGTTCGACACATGGATTGATTGAATTTCTTTCGGGGGACCAGGCTTTAATCAATCCTCTGCTCATCTTGTTTCTTTCGTGGGTGAGTACCTTGACGGCCGCGAAGTTGAACTCGTGGCCTGTTTCATAGGTGTGAGCTGCGACATGGAATTATTCGTCGCCTCGTAGAACTTGTTTTCATGTATGCGCGATCCGAGCATGTGTTCAATTTGGCCTGTGTCGTTGGAAGGACAGCTGAGGCATGGAATGCGATACACTGGACGCAAGCCGGTCTGTTATTTTCATTATCCTGCGGCGCATGACAGCTTTGGGTCTGTGTGAAATTCCAACACCTAGAACCGCAGCGACGTGCTCAGTCGCTTCTGATATGCCCTTGATGTATGGTAGAGTGTGCCTTATCCTCGGTGGTTCTTCCATTTGGGTCGAAAATTCAGGATAATCAACAAATTGATCCCGTGCTCAACAATCCTTCTTCCTTATCCAGAAGTTAAACAGTTGAACTGTTCGTACGTATATCACAAAACTCTCTTTGAAGCTGCAGCTCACCATTAAATAATATTTAGTATAATTGCTTGTAACCTTGTAGCCTCCCGTAAAATGAACGCAAAATGTGTGTACATATACATCATCATTCTCTGTAAGAGCAGTGCACTTATATTTGCGTTTGGTAATGGGTTCGTCTGTATTTATTCTTTAGACCTGATGGAGATAGCTGAGAGGTGAGAAAGCGAAACCAATTGAACTAATTTTGATGAGTTCAAGGGTGGACAATAATTAACGCAAGTAGTTGCAAGCCTTAGCAAAGTACTTGGCGATGTCAGAACTAACGATCATTCTTCATCGATGAGGTTCATTGAGCTCTGCCATGTTTATCTAAATATTGATGATGCGGACGGTAAGGAAGGGCTTGCTTTACTTGAAGACGACTAGTTTAAGGCAACTATTTAAATGATCAACATAACCGATAGACGGCAAAGAACCTACATCCTAAACATTTGCCCTTTGTTTTTCAAGCAAATTAGATCAGACATTTGGAAAATATCATAAAGTGGTTCCAAAAACAGCATACAATCATCAATTATTTCACTGCATTTGCTTGACAAAAACTGTCCATAGTGTAATCGCTTCGAGCTTTTACGAACGGTAGGTGTAGTATGGCAAGCGAAGTAGATGGAGCCTGAAAGTGTATTTTCAAACTGTCACGTTACTTCAATTTCCAATGGTGACCACTAAGTGATCCTCGCCGTCAATCCACTCTTGCAGTTCTTGGTCCCCCGAGAGCCCACTATGAGAAAATGTATCACTAAAGAGTTAGAAATGCACCACAACTTAGTCATTATGTAAATCTGGCGAATAAAGTTTTTTTCGCTAGCGTAGTCTTCCACAGCATTTCTAAGATAGGTGCTTCAAACGCTGAAATGGGCGGAATGCGAAGGCCCCTATTAGCCAGTCCATTAAAAATTGAATGGTTTACTGTAGAATGTCCGTGACTGTCTAGGCTTATTATTCATTCTTACTCAGCTGGTGTCGGTATTTCTAGTCTTATATAATGCGTCCCAGTTGATATTAATTGAATCTTGATATACTGTACATTATATGGTCCAAGGGTGGCTCTTCTGAGAACAGTCCATGCAAGGTAAAGACGTTTTATTATTGTTAGATGGACCTTCGGTCATATCAGCCAGCCCGTCAGTACAAAGACGACTACGTAGGGAGGTGCGGGTATAATTACAGTTGAATATAGTTCTTCAGTGCAGTTTGCGTTGGAGTATCATTCAAAAATACGTGTGCTATCAAGAGCGGCCATTTCGGCGAGCTCAGATACATTCCTTACATATGCGAGAGTTGGTCAATTCGGTGGCTTTGGCGCTTTAGGGGCCGCATATCTGAAGATACGCTTATCTTTGAACTGCTATTGTCGTATGCATAGATAAACAAAGTCCGGAGGGTAACCCTTTTGGGAAAATATTTTGAGAAGGTACTTCATTTCTGTTCGGTAGGCTTTGTTGCCCGAATAGTGAGATTTTGCACGACTTAGCAAGCTCTCGAGAGGGCTACGTTTGTGTAACATTGGATGGTTACTCCCAAAGTGTAAGATGACCTAAGAGTTCGTATGTTTACGAAACACCAAAGTGTAGGGTATCACATCAGACTTCCTGAGTACGAGGGCCTCTAAGAATGAGAGTTATTCGTTTGCTACAGTTTCAAAGGTAAACTCAATGCATGGGAAGGGGTTGTTAAGGGTTTGATGGAGCAATTCAACTTGGCCTCTTTTGACGATGAGAAACATATCGTTTAAGTAGCGTAGCCTTAATCTCGGATCAACTACGGAGAGGTTTCTAGCTTCTAATTTCTGCATTACACCCTCCGCCAAAAAGCCGGCTATTAGTGACCTCATAGGGATACCTTTTCGTTGTCGGTAGTATTTCCTGTCAAAGGAAAAGTTTGTTTCTAGGTAGAGGTCAAGACGTTCCAGCAAAAACGTCTACAGGCGCGTCCGTAACGTAAGCTTATAGTAGTTGGACCATCGACTAAAGCCATTGAACATCGAAACCTATTAACACACATTAAAAGGAAGATCTTGAACCGACAAAATTACAAAGAAACGAGACGGAAAAAACATTTTGCATAGTGTGCACAACATGGTACGTTTACGATTTCATCTGAAAATTACATTTCAATCTGTTAGTCACTGAGCAGCCTTCCCGCACGTGAGATTTCGAAATACCCTACTTCTGGGACCTTCCAGTCGGCGCAATCAAACGTTTATTTTCGAACGAAATTCTAAATGCGCTGCTTAATTCACTCGTTTTTTTGCATGAACAGACTTTCTCTAAATTTAAAACAGGAGTTTCCCCAATACGTCAAATTTCCAATTTTACGAAATTTTAAAATTTTCTAGAAAAAGCATATTTCTAAACAACGTGATTTTACTAGATAAACCGCAGTATGCCTTATTTCGGCGAACGACCATTAATTTACTCCTGTAAAACTTTGGGGGACAGCAGGTAAGCTGCTTTTTCGCAATAGGGATTTTCTGTTATATTAGACGTTACACACTGCTCACTAGTCAGCGCACGAGAACGGACTAGTTTCTTGTTCTATAGATTCTAGATTGTTTGAGATGCAGTTAGTTAAAGTAGGGTGATTTTGCTTGCTTTTATCTATTGGGCCATGCCGTGGATAATCCTATTCATAAGGTCACACGTTGAAAGGCTGTTCAGTGACAAGTGCACTTAAATAAAACTGTCGGGTCCTATCGCACACATAACATTTTGTACACAGCATGAGCACTTTCCTTTCGTCAACTTTTTTAGAATACTTATGTACGAGGTACTTCTTGCCTCCGCGAAAGTGAGGGTAGACACGTCATGATTATCAATGTTTGAAATCGATTACACGTAAATGAAGACTGAGCTGAGTTATTGGTGAACTTTTGTACATTCCGTCGACGGAAACTGGCGGTTTAACTTGTATATGTAGCCCCACCGATGCATTAGAATCCGTCTCAGAGAAGAATTAACGTCTAAAAACAAATTGGCCATTATGAGCTACCCATTTAAACAGCGCCTTCAGGGGATATTCCTATACTTCTCCGCATAGTTTGACTTTTTCTACGGTTAACTGAAGATAAACATTATAACGGTCTGATATTTAAATATAAAAAAGTCGTAGTAGGCCATTACCATGACTCTCATTCAAATGTTTTAGCCATTGCTTTACGGATTGAATGAGTATATTACCGATTTTGCAACCTTCAGTATTAGCATGTACCATTAGTAGGGTTTTACATTTTGTCTTAAGGAAGTGAATATTTAAGTAATTTTTGTTTCGAGGTTATCAACGGGACTAGGTTAAAACCGGATTCTATTAATAGCGGGCCTTGCCCTACGGGCCGCACTACTTTGAAAAAGGCCGACAGCAGTAAATGGATGGGCTTCCAATCTTAATCAGAAAAAATTTAAAGCGTTTTTGAAAGACCAAACTTTCGGCGTTGCATTTTTGCGCGTGCAGTCCGACGGGAAAAAAATTAAAGGTAGCTGCAATTAAGGAGAACTGAATTTTCTTTGCATACTCCTCTAACTCTAACTTTTATCCTTCGCGGAAGAACCACTTACGTTCCAGACAAGGTAACGCCCAAAATTTCATATGTTAGCGTTCAAACAGTTCTGTGCCCAGCAGCATAGCTACGGCAACTCTACTTGGAACAGGCCTTCGAAATGGCGTGCACTCTTAACACCATCTGTTGGATGCGGATCTTGAACTTTGCCATGGCTCTGACGCCGCCCAAACTAAACCTGTACCTTGGGGACATCGATGGGCGTTGCTGGCCAGAGGGAAAGGTGTACGACATATTCGACACACTTTTGACCACAATCGGCTACGCAGCGGTCCACACATATGGTCAACTGGAACCAAAAGACATTAGCTTTGCTTTTGCTTTTGTCTCCGGCTGTAGTCTGACCGAGGCAAAACATATTTCCAGTGTTATTAGTTTCTTAAGAGTAGGCCGGCTCCTGGCAAACTCCAGTGCAACTGAAACTTCATTACCGATTGGATCGCCCTCGGAGCAGACTCACCTGCAGCCGAAAAAAACTCTATCAGATCAGCTATATCTGCCAAGATATCGAGTCTTTTGGGCTTTCTGAGAAGGTTCAAACCAGCCACTCAGAAAAGATCTCTTTTGCCGTGAATATAAAGGACCATACATTGAATCGAAATTTGATTTTGTTCCTGAGACAGAACGGCTGGAAGAACATTCTCGTACTATTTGAGGCCAGTCCATCTGTCTTGACGTACAGGGCACTTGCTCGGAAGTTGGAGATGTATATGACAAGAGTAGCACCTGGCCAGGAGCGATTCAATGTGGTAACAGTTCACAATCTGCAGTTAAACAGCGACCCCCGGGAGATTGTCGAACGGTTTTGTAATTCTTGTGAAGGTAAATTGCACTACAAGTCATATGAAGAACGCTGAAGGCTAATGCAACCAACTGTGGTCAGCATACTATTTTTTGACTGCTTGTATTCGTCCATTTTTCTGATGCTGATGAGCCGGTAGTATCTAATTCACACTGCCAAAATATTGCTTTTCAGTGGAGGCGAAATTATTTACAAACATATGTAGCCTAAATAGCATAAGCAACGAACTGGTTGACTCTACTAATTTTTTACTTGCTGATGCAACGTTCAGTAAATCCTAATAGGGACAGGTGAACCTTCAAAGGCTTGAAAGGATGTTCACTGGGGAAGAAGGAAGCAAAATTTACGAAGAACGTATAAGTTACTACCGCCTTCGTAAGTACAAGCGGATGCTATTAGACCTTTCGTCCAGGACGTGGGCGCTCGGAGTAACCTTTTCCAGAATACCAATAAATGATAAATTTGATGACTTGGAATGTGACAACCCACCTCTCAAACCCGTATTCTACTCGATTTCTCGCACTCTTGATTTCTCTGATGGTGTTGCGGTTCAGGACTTGTTTACTTATCTGTGATGTTGTATGGTTCTCATATTTCTATAACCAATATTGCCACCCTTGTATTTTTTTCGCCCTGTTATACCAGTTTGTCCTAGTGAGGCAGGGCACAATTATAACTTAACTTCTGCTCTGCCTCTAAGCATAATATTTTTGCTTTTCATAGTAAGACTTTATTTTTAAGACTAAAATTATGGAAGAATGATTGAAATTTAATTATACTCAACATTATAGCCATTGTCCTCCTGGCTCGCTCATCGATCTTCTCCTACTTTATTGACATGGTAAGTAATATATCCTTCTGTGAGAACAGCGAGACTGCCATCGTTCAAGTGGATCAGTCCAACGCTATAACCTATGACGCCTTACGTCTTTGGCGATATATTCTCTCTAAACATGGAGCACTCGGGTCTGCTGGTCAATGTTTCTTTATGATGTCAATCCTTCCAGCTGGTCAGGGCTTTGACATTTCCTCCTTCATCCTGGAAAGTGTGAATGCTTATTTCCAGCTCAACAATCGACAGAATTTTTTTTCACGCTGAACAAGCTAGCGGGCTGAGATGAATAGTAGTGAACGTATTTCATATTCTTGCCAACTGCTGTGTGTGAAAACAATCGCCTCAAGTTAGGTTATTTTAAATTGCGGTAAAATATGCGTACTCAAACAAGGAATTCTGCATTCAATTGGGATCTGTTTGGTCAATTATTTATATTTAATTTGCTATTTCTACTAGTGACACAAGTGCGGCTTAGTGTGAGGATGGGGGAGGTCCAGACAAAAGTTAAGTGTTTTGCACGATTTTGCCCTCCACTTATGTCTGGATACGGAACCACAGTCAACTTATTGAATGCAGGAAAAAAATTGGTGTTTCGGTATGGCTGGCTGATGACGTCTTGTAATTTGGGAATGGCTGTTCCTGTCTCCCCTGACGTTTTCGGTTGTGTTTTTCTGCCTGAAATACTAGCCACTTTGCGGCTCCTTGCGGGGCTACAAACTGACCTCCAAGGTGAAGGGGAAGGGCGAATTCCGTAGCGGTCCGTGAGCACACGCCTACCACTCTGACATCCCTCCCCATGTCAAATTGTCGGATCCTTCAGCATAAAAATGTGAGGAGTACCTTTGGTATGTATAAATCGTAGATAGAGAAGTAGAAGGCGTTGCGATCACCGGAATCATAAGTTTACT